GAGACGGCAGGACGATAATGTTGGAGCCGTTGATCGCTCCTTTATTACTAACCGGGGTGGTCGCACGATCGAAAAGAGCGCGGCAGCGAGAGGAGGAGAGAAGGGGTTGTCCGTAAAGAAATTCGCAAGTTTCCTCCGAGCAGAGATCGACGAGATTCGCAGGAGGGATCGAATGTACGCGAATGAAAAATTCCGCCGTGCGTATACACGTATCGAGATCTCGTTTGCTCGGATAGAGAGCAGCCTCTCTTTCTTTCATTCTCTTCTGCTCCTTTTTCCGCCCCTTTTTCTTCTTTCGGTGATGGAGTCGCGAACACGCGCGCAGCGTTCGCCGCAGCGAAATTGCGAGCGCCGGCGAATAAGGTTACCGCGATCGCTCGGCGTATATTACCGCTGGCTGATACGGGACTATCCTTGAAGACTCCGAGTGCTGACGCGGTAACCATCATGGTTTCCCTGAGTGGCACTGAGTCGGCGAATGCCGTCGGGGGTGTCACGGGGATGGCAATGGCGGCGGTGGTGGAGGACTCGTTGCGGTTAGGGGGTCGTGAAAGGGGCAAGAGGCGAGATAGAGGAACGCGGAGGAGCAGCCGGAAAGAGAGACAGGTCTCTTCGAGCGACGTGAACGCGGGAATCGATGCGGACATTCCGGTAAATTGTGCGCGCCCCTGCTGACGCGGTGTTTTCGCGATTCGTTCGCGCTACTCTCGCCGTTGCTGTATCGGCCGCCCGGACGGTTTATCTCAGGCTTGCTTCGTCGAGCGTCGTTTACGAGGCGTGAGGGAAATCATGCCAGCTTTAACTTGGTCTCGCGAAGTTCCTCAGTGCCAATTCCTGCAATTTTCCGAGACTTCTTTATCTTTCTTCTTTGTCACGCGACAAATTCGCTCTCGATCTGTCGACGCCCCAATTTTCGTCCGATGTGTCCGTCTTTCTCTCCGCTCCCCGTGTCCGTGATCTGCGAAACGTTAAGCGCGGCTCTCTCCTCGCTTCATTCATGCTGATCGCGGCAGAGTGCTTTCGGGGAAAGATCGAGTCGATGGGAATTCATGAGGGCGGGACGGACGCGTGCGCGGAAATCGAGAACACCGTATATCACTCCCGGGACTCGAGTGGACTTTTATTTTTCGCCGTTGGCGGTATCTTTCCCCCTTCTCGCGCGCACTCCACCGTGCTGCCTCGCCGTAACGCAAAGTAGGACTTTTATTATCGTGTTTGCGCTCTCCTCGTCCTCTCCTCCTCCTCCTCTTCTTTCCACCATACTCCTCCCTTTGCCTCGTGTTCCTTCCGTAAGAAAATTCTGACGAAGCTCACGCGCGAACAAGAATCCATTTCCACGGAATTGATTTGAAGGATCACTCGTGTACTACGCTGCCGCGTAAATCGACCAGTCACTCTCCTTTCGTATCGAGTCACTTGATCGATCGCGAACCTTGTCACCTCGTTCCGCCGCATTCCTATGAACGAGTGATTAGAAGCGTGTCGAGGAAACGATGCCGAAACTCGCAATGGTCTGCCGATAATCAAACGTAATTATCCGCGATCGTTTTGTAATTGTGGCCGGCCGAACGACCGACCGACCGGTCGCTTGGTTGGTCGGTCGGAGCCGGTAGCAACCGTATCGAATTATAACAACAATTATGCTAATCATTCTGTCTCTAGGTAATCGCATATGATTGGCCCATTACGTACGAAGAACAGAAACGCGTTATCGGCTGCAACACGCACCGGTGACGCCGTGACCGGTCATGCGTTACGTGACTTCTCGTCGCGCATAGCCGGAAAATCTCTCGTTGCCGTTCGTTTCGCGTGAAAATTTCGCGATTTCAACCCGCTGTTCTAAAGCGACTCGGAAAGCGTCTTTGGGAGAACGAGATAAACTAGAATAGGCAAAAATTATAATTAGAAAATTAATTAGTCAGATAAATAATTAAAAATTAGAGAATAAGTGAAAACTAGGAAATTAATGGAAGCTGGGATTATAATAAATAGAAATTAGAGGGAATAATAAATAGAAACTAGAGGAGATCTCTGAGAAGGTTTTGGGGTTTGTTCAGATTTTTTACGTGCACCGAGAAAAAAATTCTGGCATTTGCAGTTATAATCACATACATGAGTAATCACTATACATAAATTACAGTAAAAAAACCACTTTTTCTAGTTAGATGCTACTGTAACGTCAGTAATAATAACCTGATATATATGTCACTATTACCATTTTTGTGTTGGAACAACACGAAAATATGGGTGATATAAATATGGGTGAAATATGGGTGGAGTCGAAAACAATTATAACTTTAGTTGGATCAATCATTTTTTTCTTACAGTGTGGATTCGTTTGAGGGAAACATCATTACGCCTCTAACTTGAATCAACATTGATATAAGCTTCCCAAAGTTTATAATTTTTTTGGCAAGCCGACCTGGTTTGCGATTAGAAATCAAGAAATTTTCCATGTGGGATCATTTCAAAGATCAACAACCATTTATCGAGAAATTCATTTCGTCCTTCGTGAAGAGATCCTAGTTCGCTCCGGATCGTGTTCTGAGTCGTTCGATCTTCGTCGCGAATCGCAGCTCGATGCTGTTCCTCGTTCTCCTCATTCTTACCATGGCCTCATCGTTTTGTCGCACGCTATAGGTCGTGGCGTATTCATAACAACGATCACGCGATGTTATGCGTGTGCGTCACTCAAGAGAGCCGGCGAATCTCCTTCACGCGCGACCTGCACGTTTTCGCTCACCTGGTCGCCAGGTTACGACTTCGCGCCGGTTTATGTGTCGCCGCCGTGCGATACGCACGATACGCATCGCCAAGGAGAGGTGTTGATACGCAAACCGTATCGCGAAGAAGAAAAGACTACCCGTTATATACCGTCACCTGCCGCCACCTCAAGATTACGATCTATCGTTTGCAGATATCGGGAAGGCACCATAATGATGTCATTATGGAAGTTCGACGTCACGAATTTCACTGCTGTCTTCCTCTCCAGCGCTCGTTCACAGCGTTGCGTAAGTCGGTGGCAGAAAAATGCTCACGGAAGGTAATCTTAATTCCCAGAAACCGCGTCGCGCCGCGGTGAGATGGGAAAAAAGGAGAAAATCGCCGCGCGTTTCCGACAACCGGCAGGTAGATAGAGAGAGAGAGAGAGAGAGAGAGGGAAAGAGAAGGGACGACTATAGGTGACCGACACCGAGGGTGGGAATTAGTCGTGTTCCAAGGACGCCACGGAAGATTCGTAGGTTGCGTGCTTGTGTCGTAAGTTCCCGCTTGTCGATACACACACGCAGCCTCGGGGTGTATAATGACGACGTTTTCAGTCGGCCCCTTTCAAAGCGTCACGATCGGACAGTGGTCGGTAGCTCAGTTACGCGGAAGCCACCTTCCTCTCTGCACAGGTATCCGGTAGTTTCCTCTCTTTCCCGAATTTGCGATCTCACGATCTCACGCGCGTGTCCGTCCGTCACTCTCAACTTCAATCGCTGCAAATCGCGCACGAGATGATATTTTACGCAGGAAAAATGCCTTTCGGGCGCGCCTTTTAATTACCGACTATCTAATCAGTTGTTTGATCAGCTATTCCGCTTGTCATTGTAGCGAACACCGATAAATAATCGATTCTCCGTCGTGTCTCGTTATCGTTTTCCGATCGCGTTCGATCTCGGCTCTTGGAATTTCCGACATTAAACGGTGAAACTTGATAAATATTGAGATTGAGCGCTCGAGATTGACTTCTCTTATTATACACGCGCGTTACATTATCTCGTTCCTCGACCTACTGTGTGACGCACGTGCAGACATTCGGATTGTCACCACGTCATCGTCGATCGGAGCCCACGTTCACTCGGGCGACCTCCACGGTGGCTTGCGAGGTTGTGGAAAACGCGGCAGGTCTCGGTCTGTAAGGGGAAAGAGGAAATTCGCAAAATGCTCGACTTTTTCTCGTTCGACGTCGCTCAATGCGAGCTCTCCTTGAGTCACAATTTCGTCGCACGACGCTTATCGTTTCCTATTACCTGCCGTAGTCGGTCGACATAGTTGCAAGCGAGAGATAATGGACGATTACCACCTTGGAAGAAGGGGAACACGCGTGCGTTACCTCGGGTTCGGTGGAAACCGGTCGCGCGATGATCACGCGCGCAGAGTTGAGCGCAAATCACGAGAATAATCTTTATGTCTGTTCCCCTTGTGCGATACAGCTCGTTCTTGGTTTGCATTGAAATAGTCCATAGTTTAAAACCAGTATTTCCCTTTTGACTTGATGGAAAAACGATGTCTTTAAGTTTCTCGCGGTGTAAAATGTCACTCAAGGCGAGTGAATTTTTACTCAGAGCGATGATAAAAATTTTGCCACTTGCAATTGTAAGAATAAATGTTTCACTCAAGTTTAGAATGAATTCCGACTCCATACAAGCGAATATGACTCAATTATAATGTATTGTCGTTGTAGAAAATACATCATTCCCTCTTCAATTTCAAAAGAAAATATTCATTCAACGATTCAGCATAGGAAATTCACTCTATGGCAGTAAACAATCACTTAACATTTGAGTGTGTGTGTCTACTGAATTCTTTTTGAACTTTAAAATTTCAGTGACTCCACTATCAGTTCACTTTTTATGTCGAATTTTACTCATAGAAATTTACTAAGCATACAAATTCGTAAATCTACCTTCAACATAGCCCTTATAGTTTTAGAATAAAAATATCGACTCGACGAATTCAGAATTCAGAATTGTGAATCCACTCTATGAGCGAGAAATCAGTCGAGTCCGAGTGATTCGGTTGTCATTTTATTCTTCGAGCAAAACTTCACTCCGAGAAATTTAGAATTTAGTCGCCATTCGCCAGGGAGGACTTTCTTTCACTTTTCGCGAAAGACATTCCGTGGACATTCCACGAAGTTTACCGCGACTGCAATTTTTTCCTTCTTTCTTCCCCGTTTTTTTCAGTCACGCTCACACGTCGCATTGACATTATTAATGAAATCAGTTATTTACCTTCACACGTCTCGGTTATCGAGGAAACGTCGCAACTGGAACACGCAATTATCCGCAGCTTCTAGAAAAAGAGGAAAAAGAAGAAGAAAAAAAATGGAAGAAAAGAGCTCGTTGCTCGGCGAACTCTCCGGCGCATGCACAAGGCGGAAAACTAACAAGCGGCCGACGTCGACTGGCGATATCGATCGTGGTGTTTGCGAGATCGTTACGCTAGTACGGACTACTGCGCCGACTAACCGCAGCGGCGGCGGTGGCGGCAGGTCCGCTCGACCGGTATGCAAAAAACGTACTCGCGACTACGATTGTTACGTAAATCGAGCTCGGTGTAACTGCACACCTTCCAGTCGGTTAATAATAATCCTCGACGCGTCGCCCGTGCCATGAGATGTGTTCGCGGACGGAGATTAAATGCGCCGCTTAATATCCGCGATTGAGATCGTATCGAATGCATGTAATTTCTCTAATTCCCGTAACTCCCACACGGTCGACACCCACACACACCTCGTCGTGGTTCGCTTTCGTCGAGTGATACCGGGGTTTCTTTCTCGTCGGGTGAACGCGAAAGGATTGTCGTTTCTTTCTCTCATTGCTTTTTTTGCTCTGCTTTTATTCTGGTCTCGCGAGACCGCCAACGATAACTTTCTAGAGCGGCTCTTGAGATCCTTCAACCCTTGAACTTATATTTCCTTGCAAAATTTTGCAACCTCCATGTTATCGGAGAAGTAAGTCGAAGCGGTCGATGAGAGTGCAGGAGACTTACTTCGTCGCAAGTCTTGACATACTTGCTAATCCTTTCGTATTTGAATTGAGAATTACAATCACCTTTCATCTATAAATTAATATTCTCCAGAAAAAATTTTTTCACATATAATCACATCCAGCGATCAATAATCAATAAAAATGTATTAAAATACTTCAATCCCCCTTCCTTAAGTGGTACGCTTGGGAAATTTTGGTAAAATATAAAATTTCTTTTCATTTATTTAAATTATTGTATTTCTTAATTCGTAGCAAAGATAAATTGGGTATATTTTGTATTACATTCTCCAAAATTCTTCAAAGAAAACAGCAATAAAGAGAATAAATAATCTAGATACGCTTAGAAAAAAAACACTCTAGAAAGAATCGCGCAGTTATCTTATATAGCCACTAAAGAGGTCAAACAAATTTTTTTTCACGAATTATATTTAGCGATCAATGAGAAAATTTTACAGTCAAGAGTTTTAATCAAACTGAAAATAAGATTGAAGAATTTTCTGGGTAGAGGAAGCGCAGGGAGATTCCAACGGCGATCATTTTGCATAATAATTGCTCCGATATCGCGTATCTTCGGCTCGCGCGGTTTGGCCAGCTCGCATGCAAAAAAATTTCAGTTGGTGTAAACAAATAGGAATCAATTGAAAAGTAGGTAATCAGAAGCGATATCTCTGTTATGAAAACTAATATTTCTGTTGTCGCAAACAAAAATATTCACTTGAACATTCAACGATATTAGAACTCAGTTGAGGTAACTGAGAACAATTGACTAAACGGAAGCCTCATAAAGGAATTTTTCTGTTCCTACAGCCGAGTTTTCGTCTGATCTCTGAGCAACCGAAAATTCGGTTGCACCAACAGCATTGTTTTTTCGGGGGG